GGGTTGCTGGATGATAGATGCACTCTATGGAGTGTGTTACTGAACTTATAAAATGATTTATTGTTGAGGAAGGAAAAAAATATTTAAAAAAAACCCCAAAACAATCCTAACATAAGTCCGCCTGAAAGAACTAGATGAATGACTGACCAAAGATGGATCCCAAGGGCGAAGAAAACTGATTCTATTTAAGGTTTCTTCTCTCTCCAAACTAACTGTCAGGAGCAGACTTTAAGGCAGGGGTGGGCAATAATTTTTGATGTGGGGCCACTCCAAGAACTTGGAAAGTGGTCAGGGGCTGCACTCTTTCATATTAATGGAGGACATGCTGGGTCTGGAATGTCTGTGAAGGAGGCAGTCGTGACCTGGGTTAGGGGACTAGGGTGCAGGGATTAGGGTTGTGACATGGGGCAAGAGAGGGCTATGACCTGGGTAAGGGGACTAGAGTGCAGGAGCGAGTGGAGGGCTTTGGATTGTGAGCTAGGGCAGGAGAGAGTTGTGACTTTGGACAGGGGATAGGGATCCAGGGGTTTGGGTTGTGACCTGGGACAGGAGATTGGGATGTAGGATCTGGGAGGAGATATGGAGGCAGAGGGTTTGGATTATGTGGAATAAGGGGGGAAAAGATACGGTGCCCAGAGGCAGTCTCTGGCTGGGATACTTATCTGCTTGATTCCGAGCCAGCAGCCTTCTCAAGCAGACTTCTGCCTGCCCCATCCCTGTGCTGCCTGAGGGGCGGGGGCCAGCGTGTTTCACAAGTTGCCTATTGACAACAGGCAGCTCCCATTGGCCGGAAACCGGCCAGTGGGATTGCGCTGGAGGTGGGAGCAGCGCGTGAAGCACCACTCCTCAGCTCACAGCTGTGAAAGAGAAACAGCCATGGCACTTTTCTGAGTGGTGGTAGGAGTAAACGAGACAAGCAGGGAGTCTGCCTGAGACTCCCCACTGCGTCTACAGGCTGGATCTGGTGGCTTAGCAGGCCGGATGCAGCCTGCGGAGGATATTTTGCCCAGGCCTGGTCTAAGGCTACACTAAGATCACAGCTGTACCACTGAAACTGTGCCTCTCTAATGTTTCTTGTGAAGCTGCTCTGTGCTTGCAGGGGAGAACTCTCCTGGTAGAATTAAATCACCCGCAATGAGTGGCGGTAGCTGTGTTGGAGGGAGAGCATTCCCTGCTGACATAGCGCAGTCTACACTGACACTTTTGTCAGTGAAACTTATGTTGGTGGTGGGGGAGGTGTTATTTTCATAACCTTGACTAACAAAAGGCTTACTGACAAAAGTGTTATATGTAGACAAAGCCTTATTCTTTTCCCTTCCCCATATTTGACTTGGTTCCTCACAGATTAGTGGATTAATCTTAGACCTTAGTGGCTTCAACTACTTCACCCTCAAACTCCCAGAAGTTTTAAGGCCAGATGTATACATGAACTTTTGCCAATATAGTAATGTTGGGGGAGGGGGGATTTTTTTTGAGGTATGATGATGTATACCAGCAAACCCCCTTTTGTAGGCACAGTAATGTTGGCAAAGAAGAGCTTTTGCTGGCAATCAAGGATGATAAAGCCATTGCGGATAAACTAAATGATTTCTTTGCTTCAGTCTTCACGGCTGAGGACATTAGGGAGATTCCCAAATCTGCACCGTCCTTTGTGGGTGATGAATCTGAGGAACTGTCCCGGATTGAAGTGTCATTAGAGGAGGTTTTGGAACAAATAGAAAAACTTAATGTTAACAAATCTCCGGGACCGGATGGCATTCATCCAAGGGTTCTAAAAGAACTCAAATGGGAAATTGCTGAGCTATTATCTGTGGTTTGTAACCTATCCTTTAAATCGGCTTCAGTACCTAATGACTGGAAGGTAGCCAACGTGACACCAATATTTAAAAAGGGCTCTAGAGGCGATCCTGGCAATTACAGACCAGTAAGTCTAACTTCAGTACCAGGCAAATTAGTCGAAACAATAGTAAAGAATAAAATTGTGAGGCATATAGAAGAACATAATTTGTTGGACAAA